GTCCACAGACGTCTTTACGTTTGTTAGTCTACCCTGCGGTTTAGGGTTTACTAGCTGAGGGTTTAGGGTTTAGGGTTTAGCTGCATGCTTAGCATTCAGAGAGGAGAGTGCTTCGGGGTTAGGGCCCAGGAGCGGCTTTTAGGGTTTAGAAGCTGGTTTAGGGTTTAGAGTCTAAGAGCTAGGGTTTAGGGTTTATAAGGTGTTCTAGGGTTTATGGGGTAAGAGCGGTTTAAGGGTTTAGGGTTTAGGGGCCGTTCTAGGGTTGAGGAGATGTTCTACAGTTTTGGGGGTCTTCCTCTAGGGTTTAGGGTTTAGGGTTCAAGGGTTTTCTTAGGGTTTAGGGTTTAGAAACTGTTCTAGGAGCCGTTCAGGGGTTTAGGGTTTAGGTGTTTATGCATAGAGAGAGAGACAATAGAGGGCGCGGGGAGACACTTATTTTAATGAGAAGACAGAAGGAGACAGGAGACAGACAGAGACACAGAGAGAGACAGAGAGAAGGAGACAAAAAGAAACAAAAGGAGACAAAAGGAGACAGAAAAAAAAGGAGAGTGAAGGAGACAACACAAGACAGAAGAAGGAGACAGAAGGACAGAGAGGGAGACAGATCAAGAGAGGGAAAGGAGACAGCTGGGGAGGGGGGGAGACAAGAAAAGATATGAGGAGACAAAAGGAGACAGAGAAGACGAGAAAAGATATAAGGAGACAAAAGGAGACAGAGGAGACAAAAGGAAACAAACAGACAATGTAAGAACAAGACAAAAGGAGACAGCTGGAGACAGAGGGAGCGGACAGCAGACAAGAGACAGAAGAAGCAGAGAGGGAGACACGAAAGGAGACAGGCGACCGAAGGAGACAGAAGACAGCAAAAGATAAAAGCGACAAAAGAGAACAGAAGGAGGCGAAAGGAGACAAAAGGCACAGCAGAGAGCGAAGGGGGGACAGAAGGAGACAGGAGGAGACACAAAAGGAGACAGAAGAAACATAAGAGGACAGAAGGAGACAAAAGGAGACGCAAAAGGAGACAGAAGGAGACAGGAGGAGACACAAAAGGGGACAGAATAAGACAGAGGGAGAGACAAGGAGACAGATAGGGGGGCGGGAGGGGTCAGAAGGAGACAGAAGGAGACAGAAGGAGACAGAAAAGAGGACAGAAGGAGATAGAAGGAGACAGAAAGAGACAGAAGGAGACAGAAGGAGACAGTAAGAGGTGCGGCGGGCCTTGGGCTTCGCTCTATGGGGGCGCATCACCACTGAGGCCCTTGGGGGCCCTTCTCTGTTTCTCTGTCTCTTTGAAGCTTCATTAATTTCTTTATCTCTCGCATAAAGGAGTAATAGAAGTCGATACAGACAGCAACAGCAGCCGCAGCAGCAGCAGCAGGAGCAGCAGCAGCAACAGCAGCAGCGGCCGACGCGTAGTTTGTGTCGAGAAGGCCCCGCGTGCCTTCTGTGTTCTTCTTTGCCTTTCTTTGATATCTGCTGTTTATTTATATTTTATTCATTTATTATTATTATTATTTGCTTTGTTATTTAGACAGAAGACCGCAACTGTCTCCTGTCTCCTCTCTGCTGTCTCCTGTCCCCTCGCCAGCTGCCTCAGAGCCCTCTCTCTCTTCTGGGGTACCTCTTTTGTTTGTCTCCTCCTAAACATTTTGAAGCTTCACAATCTTAAAAGAGACCCATTTGGGTGCAGCAGTAGCTGCAGCAGCAGCAGCAGCAACAGCAGCAGCAACAACGGCAGCAGCAGCTGGACCACCGGCCGCAGCGGCAACAGACCACTGGGCCTCGCTGCTGCTGCTGGTGCTCTTGAGGGTTTGTTTGTTGTTTGTTTGCATTTATTAGTTGAAGTCTCTCTGTAAATTAATTAAAAGGGTTTAGTTATTGCTTAGCTGCAGGCATGCATCAAGCAGTGCAGCAGGGGCCCCCAGCCAGCTGGGGGCCCTCCTGTACCCTGGGGCTAAAGGCCTATGATGCTCAGAGCAGGCTTACATCAGGGGCCTCCGATGCAGCAACAGCAGCAACAGCAGCAACACGAGCAGCAGCACCACCTCCACGAGCATCAGTAGCACCAGCAACAGCAGCAGCAGCAGCAGCAGCGGGGGCCTCCTGGCTACGGAAGTGCCCCGTCTGCTGCTGCAGCCTCGCGGCCTGTGCATGCGATGCAGCAGCAATAGCAGCAGAACATAGAAGGCAGCAGCAGCAGCAGCAGCTGGTTCACCAGAGGAGACAGCAGCTGCAGCAGCAGCGCGAGCAGCTGGAGCGAGTGAATTCCATCCAGCAGCAGCAGAAGATGCTGCTGCAGCAGCAGCTCAACAGCAACGACGAGGAGGACCCCCCGTTAGTCTACCCTGGGGGCCCCCTTGTGTCTTGCAGCTATCAGAAAAGGGGTACTGATGCTGCTGCACCTCGGGGGCCCCTCACAGGCTCAGGTGTCTCCTGGAGTGGAGGCGCTGTCTCTTCATGGCAGCAGCAACAGCAGTGGCCGCAGCAGCAGCAGCAACGGCAGCAGCTGCAAGGCAGAGGTCGCTCTGCTGCAGCAGCGGGCAGCAGCATCACAGGTGAAATTCAGGGGTTGTTGGGCCCCCGTGTGCTTGCTGCCTGCAACCAACTGCAGCAGCAGCACCAGCAGGGGTCAGACAAGGCCCCTCTAGAGGACCTTATGCTGTATAAAGTGTCTCCGAGTCGATCAACAGCTGCTGCTGTCGCTGCTGCAGTTATTGGCGCGACGGCGGCGCCTAAAACTGTTGTTGCTGCTGCTGCTGCTCCTGCCCTGTGTCCCTCCTGGAGCCTGCAAGGGACAGGAGAAGCCCCTTCCAGCAGCAGCAGCAGCAACAACAACAACAACAGGGAGCAGCAGCTGTCTGACTGCCAAGTTGCCCTGCAGTGTCTCGGCATCTCCCAAAGGAGACAAGGAGACAGAAAGAGGGAAGGAGACAGAGAAACAAAGGAGTCTCTTCAGCCTTCTCTTGAGGCCCAGAGGTCCTTCTTCAGCAGCAACTGGCTACCAGGGACTCAGCAGCCACTTGCTGCTACTAACACGAACGCTGCTGCTGCTGCTGCTGCTGCTGAGGGGGCGGAGGTTCAATATCTTCCCCACGAGGCCCGCAGATCGCCAGTGTCTCCTTCTAGACAGCAGCCTGCTGCAACAGCAGCAGAAGGCCTCTGCGAACCTCCATCCTCAAGGGAGACAGCAGAAGACAGAGATGAAGGCATCTGGCAGGAGACACCCCAGGGACGGCGGGCCCTAAGGGCGTATCTTATAGAGCTGCAGACCCGGCTTGCTGCGGCTGAGCAACAGGTGGGTTTGCTGCTGCTGCTACTGCAGCACGAGATTTGCTGCTGGTGCTGCAGTTGCTGCGCGGGAACTGCTGCTGCTGCTTCTGCTGCTGCTGTTGGTAGGTGCACTAACCTTTTCTTTTTTGTCTTTCTTGAGGGCAAAGGAGACAGTTGCTGTTTTGTTTCTTCAGGCCACGCACAACTTCGTCGGGTGTCTCTACAGAGAAATTCATTTACAAGGGCTCAGCCAGCAGCAACTTCTCCCTCAGGGGGCCCTCACTGTTGGAGAGCCCCTCGCTGAAGGGGGCCCCTCAGGGTCCTCTCCTGACGGAGCAGGTCGAGAGACACAGGAGGCAGCAGACAGTGCTAAGGAGCAGCAGCAGCAGCTTATGTTGCTGCAGCAGCAGCTGCGGCTGCTTAGCAGCGAGAGAGAGGCAAGTGCTTCAGTATAGGGAACTGTCTCCGTTCGCGGAAATGCTGTTACATGTGTCTCCTTGTGTGTCATTTATGCGTCTCCGTATGTGTCTCCGTATGTCTTCTACACTGTATCCTAAAGCTTCTCT